TATATTTTATAAATTTGCACTGTTCGAGTGTTGTCATTATGTTAGAGAGAGTAAATGCCACAAATAAATTTGACATTAAACATAATCCAAATTGAAGTGTTGCATCATTTTAAACCCCCTTTTTGTCATCTGCATTTGGTATCAGGCCAAACTGACAAAGGCCATGCAGAATAAAGTAGTATTTTAATTCCACAACAGAGAAAGCTATATAGTCTCTGAAAGGTCTAGGGGGGGGGAAATATCAGTATTGGTATCGGTTATCGGCCAAATAAGTTTTAACATATCGCATATCGACCAACAATTCAATATCGTGCATCCCTAGGAGAAGGTTTTAAAAACTTTTTCAAGTCAGTCTGTTTTTAGATCAAAGTGTCTCCCTTTTGCCTTTTCTCTTCCCTAATATAAGATATGCTGTTTATTACTGATTTAAATCTTGAGATGTTGTCTGTAAATCTTTAAAAGTGGGATTCTGTTGTAGATGTGGGGAAACGGGGTTTATTTCTGACTGGGTCAAAGCACTAACGGCTAATCTGAGTGGGGTCAAGACCAAAGGGCACTGCTGTCTTAAAACAACTCCAGTCTCAAAAATGTCATTGCAGTCCTCGCAGGCACTATTTTATGAACCTTTTTCAGTCAGTTTTGCATTACGCAATTATTTACATATGATTATTTGCAAGTGGTAATAGAGCAACTATTACAGTAACTTTAGAGTAGCTTGCGTTCATTTCTTGCAGGGATATTAGAACATTTTGTCAGAATAATGTTGGAGTAGAATAGAATGGAATAGAATAGAATAGTCTTTATTATTATTGCCCAGCCTGAGTAATGAAATTAAAGGAGCCTCAACTGACAGTGTTTTCATTTAAAACAAGACAACAACACACCCAACGATTCAGTGCAGACAATAAAGACCTTTATGAACAAGAAACATCAGTTCAGAAAACAGAGACATACTGGTCAGAAGAATCACGGATATTTAGACTCTGGATGGCCCAGGGGAAGAAGCTGTTTTAGAGTCTGCAGTTTTTAGTTTTCCTGTACCTTCTGCCAAAGGGCAGCAGGCTGACTAGGTGGTGACCAGGATGGAGGTGGTCTTGGAGGATCCTCTTTGCCCTGGAGAGACAGCAGGGGCTGTTGGGACATCATCAAGGGACAGAAGAGGACAGCCAGTTTTTCTCTCAGCAGTCCTGATCACCCTCTGCAGACTCTTCTTGTTGGCGTGGCGGAGCCAGCGTACCACACTGTGTTGGCCTTCACCAACAAGCTCTGTGGTGGAGCTTTAGAAGGTTACCAGCAGCTTAGTCTCTAAGTTGCTCCATCTAAGTACTCTCAGAAAGTGAATTCACTGCTGGGCCTTCTTAACCACCGCTGTGGTGTTTTACCAGGAAAGGTCCTCTGAGATGTAAGTCCGCAAGAGTTTGAAATGGGTAACCCTCTCCATGCTGTTGCCATTTTTATAGAGCAGCCTCGCTCTTCCTGTAATCCATGACCACCTCCTTGGTTTTCCTTGTGTTGAGTGACAGGTTGTTCTCCCTATACGCCGACTTGTCTCTACCAGTTAAAGTCCCACCAGGGTAGTGTCATCTGCAAATTTTGATGATGGTGTTAGTGGGATGTGGGGGAGTGCAATGATGGGTATAGATGGCGAATATAAGTGGGCTCAGTATGCAGCCCTGTGGGGAGCCAGTGCTGAGCGTCAAGGTGGAGGAGCAGTGTGCACCAATCCTTATAGACTGTGGACGGTTTGTAAAGAAGTCCTTGATCCAAGCACAAGTGGCAGGGTTAGTCTAGTGCAGCCAGCTTGTCCACCAGGATACAAGAACAGTGTTGAAAGTCTAGCTAAAGTTGACAAAAAGCATCCTGACGGAGGACTTGGGGGGTTCTGAGTGGGTCGGAGCAGTGTTGCGGGCAGTGGATATGGTGTCATCACTAGATCTATTTGCTCTGCATGCATTTTGATGAAGATCAAAGGCAAGGGGGAGGCAGTCCTTGATGTGCTGTACCAACAGTCTTTCAAAATAGTTGGTGACCACCGGTGTTAGTGTTAGCATAGTTGTTGTGGCAGCTGACGGTTGAGTTTTTAGGGACGGGGATTATGGTGGTCAACTTGAGGCTGGGTGAGACAGAGGCCTGTGTCAGGGACAGATTGAAGATCTTAGTAAAGACCCTTAGAGCTCAGTGGCTCCTGCCTTCAATTTACTGGCATGAATTCCATCTGGGCCTGTAGCTTCCTCGTGTTCATGGACCTGAACACAGATCTCACTTGATGTTCCTGGATGGTGAGGGGGTTCTTGGACTGTGGGGGCAGTGTGGCTGTTTGAGGAGAGGTTGTCTCGAAGCGAACAATGAAATGATTTTATTCCTCAGCCAGAGAGGCGTCGACACAGGTGACTTGTAACTGGTGAGCTGTTTTAGGCCTCGCCACACGTGGATTGTTGTCGGCCAGGTGATCTTCCACCGTCCTTTTGTAGGCCACCCTGACATCTTTAATCCTCTTCTCAGGTCTGCTCTGGCCACACTGCACTGGACCTGGTCACCCGACCTGAAGGCAGTATTACGAGCTTTCAGGAGTGCCTGGAAATGCAAATCACAATCACACCTCCATGTGATTGACAAGCACATGAACTGCTCTTAAAGTTTTGAGATTAGAGTTGTTTAAAGAGCCATTTTGCTCAGATTAGCCATTAGCGAGTCAGAGGTAAACTCAGTTTGGAGATATGAAGAGCTGTCTAAAACAGGTCACACGCATGCTGAGGTTTACAGCTTTTTGATGGAGTGTTTTGCTTCTTTTAGCTTTAACAGCTGAGTTTCAGCTTCTTCAGTAAGTTTCAGCAAAGTAAATCAGCCCTCACCTGAGAGTAAAGATGACATCATTCTTTCATTGTTACAGGACTCGGCTTCTGTTTCAGTGTCCAGCCGGGCGTGACCATCCTGGGGCACTACTTTGTGCGTCATCGTGCGTTTGCCAACGCCATGTCCTCCACGGGCACAGCCCTCGGACTCTGCATCCTGCCTGTCCTGGGAAACTACCTCCACACGGAGTACGGCTGGAGGGGCAGCTTTCTCATTCTGGGGGCCATCCTGCTGAACCTCTGCGTCTGTGGCGCTGTGATGAGGCCCCTCGAACCCAAAAGGCATCGGGGCCAGCCTCTGATAAATCACAAACCTCCCCCGTCGGATCAGGAAAATGAAATGAAGCAAAACAGGACCGTATGGAAGTACGTGGCGGCCTCCCTGAGAAAACACATGGCCTTCGATCAGTTCTGTCACAACCGGCGTTACCGTGTGTACGCCATAGGCATCACCTGGATGATGCTCGGGTTCGTGGTGCCCCTGGTGTATCTGGTTCCTTTCGCCACATCAAACGACATGGAGCCACGCCAGGCTGCTCTCCTGCTCTCCATCCTGGGGATCATCAACATCATAGTGCGCCCGCCGTTTGGCATCGTTTTCAACATGGCCTGGTTCAAAGGGCGACACATTTACGTGTTTTCTGCCGCTTTGCTGGTCAACGGGCTCAGTAACATTATCTGCTGCATTGGGGCTAGCTTCCCTGTTCTGGTGATCTATGTTACCACCTACGGGCTTTCCATGAGCGTGGTGGGCTCGCTGATGTTTACCGTCCTCATGGACATCGTGGAGATGAGCCACTTCCCTTCCGCTCTGGGTCTGCTGGCTGTCATGGAGAGCGTCACGCTGCTGACCGGACCGCCACTGGCAGGTAAGCACACAGACAGAACGTGTTTCCAGCGTGCACGCTGGTGCAGCTTCTCAGTCATCCAGGACATGAAAAATTAAACTGTGTTCGCTAGATGCCCTCACATCGGAGAGCTGCAGCATCTCTTTTGTGAACCAGGCTGACAAAGATCTTAACTGAGCTTCTCATGCACTTTAAAAGCTCCTCCGACTGGAAGTGAAACGTCCTCAGCCACAGAACAGAACTTCAGCTGTTTTAACTTTGTATTTTATTTGTTCATTTACAGTGCGCAGTTTCACAACGCTTAGGGTTTGTTGGCTCAGTGAAGCTTCAGGGCTTCGAAGCTGCTGAACCAGTTGCTACACAAAGATTTAGAAATCAGAAATACAAGATGGTTACGATCGTTCTGAGCAGTGAACAAAACACTCAGCTGTTGATATTCACCAAAGGAACTCTGCAGTTCCTTCGCAGCAGAGAAATCTAAAAAAAAAACTAAATTCAGTCAGTTTTACAGATAGTGAGCTAAAACTTGGTGTGGTAGTAACTGAGAGTCATCCTCAGCACGTGCTTTGAGCGTGACACCTCCTGACATCACAGGAGCTCGTGCATGACGTCATTGTGAAGATTTAACCAAAACAACTTCATCATTTATCGACATTTTTCTAGTACAGTAGTCTCTCACTACTTCACGGTTCGTTTATCGCGGACTCGCTCTGTCGCGGTTTTTCAAAATAAGAGTGGACATGACACAACTGGCCGATTGATGGATGAGCCGTATGATCAGCCTGACATTTTTATTTAAAATAAATTATTTTAAATTATTTAACACCTGCTGCACATTTGTGCAGCCCACACTGCAGGATAAACTTCCTGCTGCAGCTGATCAGCTGTTCACCGTGCAGAACGGAGAAGTGGGCGTGGCCAAGAGGCATGAGGTGGCTGAGAGCTGAAATCATGACATTATGTGCTCTTTTAGAGCTTTTAGAGTTTAGAAACATTGTTTAGAATATTGCAATAGTGTAGGAAGGGTTTAAAAATTATATATATATAGGGAGAGGGGGAGGGAGGGAGAGAGAGAGAGAGATAGAGATAGATAATGTATATACTCCCTATATATATATATATAATAAAATAAACTACTACTTGTACTACTATTCCTACTTCATGGTTTTTCACCTATCGCGGGGCTTCAGGGTACGGATACCCCGCGATAAAAGACGGACTACTGTATCTGCTTCTATTGTGGTGCATTCACTGACCGTAATAAGATTTGAAAGTCTAACCTTAAGAATGAGTAAACAACAAATATAATATTTAAGATTTTCTAGTTAAGATATTGAACACCTGGCTGGTTCTGGGCGAGCCTGAATCTGCTCATATATTTGCGAAGATGTCGTAATAATTAAAACCGTCAAGAGTAAAGTTGTACGTCGAGAACTTTGGGTCTGAACTCCTTTAAATTTGTGAGAAATGAAGCTCAGCAATCGTTCTGCTTATTTCAGTCCTTTAGGACAACTTTCTTAGTTTTATTACACTTTTAAACCCGTTGTGTGTTTGGATAACAGATCCACGCTGAGGTCAAGGTGTATGAGGAGTGGAAAGGGTTAACGACAGCAACTGCCAGGGGAACATAGTTAAAGGTGAAAGGTTATGGCTGTTATCACTAAGTAATGTTAAATTAATGTGTGTGGGTTGTTTTGCTGCTCAGAGAGGAGCCTGCAGGCTCACGGAGGCACCTGATAAAGCTCCAAGGCCTTCTCCTCTCTGTAAGTTGGGAAGACGAGGTCGGCTCTGTCTGATAAACGAGGATTAAAGCTTTTCCCGACTCCGGCCGCCGCAGATTCTCACTGACGAGGCTAAAGGCGTAACTTTTGTGTGAAAGCTTCCTCGTGACCATTTACTCTTCCTTGCAAGTAAACTGGGTTGAAAAATCTCGACTTTTTTGAGTAAACAGACGATTAAGAGATAATTATTTTATCCATCAGCAAACCTCATGGTCACTCAGATAAAGATCAGCAGACAGGACAGGTTCTGAGACCCAGACCACCTGGTAAACTCCCAACAGGTTCTGTTTTCATCACTTCTTCTGGTTTTTTTTTATCATTTTTACCTTGAAGCACGTTTTATTGCAGGTAATAAAAATAACTGAATAATAAATAGCTGTTCATCTCTCGCTGTGGACAAAGTAAAGGTGGAACTTTGAAACGGGCGTAAGGTTTTTATCGCCTCTGGAGACAAAAAGCAAGTTGGTGTTTTCAAAACAAGAGTCCTCCTTCCTGTTTCTGCACAGATGAATGAAATTTAGGCAGAATTTCAGGAAGTGTGAGAGAAAACTGAGTCTAATCGGCCTGTTTTGCTGCTCTGTGCGTTAACACAATGCCAAGGTGGAAAGACATCAGCAATGACCTTAGGGAAGCATCTGTTTGGGCTCGTCAATCCGGGCAGGGTCAAAGGTCATTTCCAATTCCAAATAAACCTGTTGCGATAAACAATAAATCAATTAATCACACGATAAATGAAAATTATCGACCTCGTTTTCATTTATCGGCTTTATCGTTTCTTCGTGTCTCTCTTTCTACTGAAGACACTGGACGACAAAAAGTTCAACTCCGGTTCTTCACTGACCCCTCCCTTTCCATTACTCGTTAAAATCCATTTTAACCGTCCAAAATTGCGTTTTTGGATCGTTAAAAGCAGCTAAACTGAGAAGCTAAGCTACGAGCTAAGCTAACAGGCCGACCTCAGGAAACAACTTCCGTCTCGTCGAAGCTCCAAAACTCACAGTTGAAACTCGTGCTTTTGTGTAAAAAGTTGTTTTTCTCTGCAAAAAGAAGCCGAGAACTTGTTTACTGATTTTTGTATTAAAAAGCTTTGTGTGAAAAATGCTAAAGAGCTCAAACCACACCGAGCGTCCACCATCTTGAGAACCGAAGAGAGACAGCCCATGTCACGTCAAGGTGCCTCCCTCCCATTTTTTTTAAAGAGACACGCTGCTCGTTCTCTCACTATCCATCCTTCGGTTCAAACAATCTTATACTGCCATCCGGGGGTCAAAAAATGGTACTACACACAACAAAACCAACATTTCTTCTTAAATCTGACAATAATTACTAATTATTGTCAGATTTCAAACAATATTATCGTTTATCGCAATAATTTCTGAGACAATTAATCGCCCAGCAACACTTGTTATGGTGACAGGCCTAGTTCCAAACACTTTGAAATCTCTTTTTACATAGAGGCAGATTATTCACAAGTTTGACTCCCATCAGGACCGCTCACTGAATTCATTCATTTGACCAGAACTCAACACGAGAACCCGAAACGCCACGGCGTGTCTGCGCTCGCGTGTCTTCAGGGGGACACGTCTCGGCTTGTGTGTTCAGTGGAGGCTGACACGCAGGAGAAAGGTGGAGCAACATCCACCCGGAGGGACAAAAATGCATTTGTCTCGCTGACATTTACGCAGTAGTTTTTAAATTAAAGCGTCTCACGGCGTCGTAAATAAATCATCAGACATCCGTGCTGTCGAACTTCCCACCAAGTTTCCTTTATGAGGTTTAAGAGGAATAGACCTGACAATAAAACTTGACAAGCGACCTTTCGGGTGATCAAAACCTGCTGCAGCTCATTCCAACGAGTTGATTAAAAACAAAAACGGCTGCAGGTTTCACTGTGGAGGAGGAATCAGCTGGAGAGGAGCTCGTGTGACGCTTGTGCTTCCCAGAACCGTCAGAACAGGATCGGTTCGCTCGTCATGGATGCGTGACCCGCTTTGGGTCGTGCAAACACTCGTGCTTTCCTCTTTTTTATTTTTTTAATTTTAACCCAAAGTGCTTAAATTTAGAAGAAACAGTCACAGAAAAGTCTTGAACTTTGAGGTTTTTAGATTTTACTTGGAAAATGTTTGCAGCTGAGCCGTCGCTTACTGAAGACGTGGTTCCAGCTGATGTTGAAGGAAATAAATCTGCCTGTTCGACATGAGGTCAACATTACTTTCTTTCTTTTTTTAATTTCCAACATTGTGGAATGTGGAAGTTAATTATCATAATTCATAATAATAATTAATGACATGTTTAATTCTGCGAATGCTTATGTTTTCTTATTTTCTCATTATTTTGAGAAGTTCAAACAGCAGTGCCTGGTCCTGGTCCTGGTCCTGACGGGCCCCGTCCTGCAGGTTTTAGTTGCCCTGCTCTTCAGCGGGCCACTCATCGTGCAGGATGGTGGCCCTCGAGGACCAGGACCGGACGCCACTCCTCGCTAACTTTAATCCTAAAATCCAACATGGCTGCCGCTCATAAAAAGTGGTGACGGCTGCAGAAATGGACTATTTACCATCGCTTCTGTCAGTTTGCATCTCATTAAATGATTAGCATGCGTTGTGATCAACTTTATTAGTCAATATAAAGTTTGTGTTCATTTAAAATGCAACAAAATAGGTTTTGCTAATAATGTTGTTTCTCAGACCTAAATCTGGGCTGGACTTTCAGACTTCTAAGGCAAATTAAACAGAATAATGTCAATAATTGTTTGATGAATATGGCAGGTAAACTATGTTTGTAAATCTTAATGCCCACATTGTTCTTTTCAGGAATCCTGGTGGATCGGACCGGACAGTATTTCTACGTCTTCATCGCCTGCAGTGCCGTCGTCGCCTCCTCCGCCATATTCCTCATGTCGGCGTTCCTCTGGCTGGACAAAACGGAGGAGAAGGCGTCAAAGCGCGGTCAGCCGCCCGCTCAGCCCGACCTGAAGAGACCCGCGACCAACGCCTCTCCGGGCTGCCGGTACCGCAGCGTGCCCACGGACGGAGACCGAGACAAGGCTGCACCCCACAGGTCGGAGTACATGACCAGCGTCTGAACCGGACCGTCGCCGTGAACCAACACTTCCTGTCAGACAGGAGCTAGATGCTAGATGCTAACGGGAAGCTCGCACTGCTTGACCAAAGTTAGTTACCAAAACGAACAGATGTGCTCTTCAAACATCAGTCCTGTTGATCTGTCACACATGAGGCACGGCGTGCGGCTCGAGCTCTTTGCCACGTTCGCCGCAGGCTCTTCTTCTCGTTTCTTCTTCGTTCGTGCCAACGAAGCACTTTTCAAGTAGGAGCCGAATCAGAACGACATCTCCGTTCAGCTCAGACTCCGGCAGAGGAGCTTTTAGTCTGTCAAATAAGTGCATTAAATGAAAATGTGCACCTTTTGTTGACATTTTTGCACAAACTCTTTATCCTTCATGAATCTATATCTCTAAAATAACGTCTTTATACCAAAACAAGCGCACAGAACGTTTTAGGTAATTTATTTCAAAAGGAGAGCAGCTGGCACGGTAATTGACTGAACCTTGACTCGTTGTAGTTCGAATAACTCGTAGGATAATGTCCTTCTGTCTCCAGTGAGCATTTGTCCTTTCTTCCGTGCAGAACCGCCTCACGTGCGAGATGTTAAGGATCGTCTTGCATGTGTTGCTGACTGAAAATCATTCATAAAACTAAAACAGACATTTCAACAAATCCGCATTTCTCTTCAACAAACCAGATTTCATAGGTTTCCAGGTCTCATATCAAGTTGAAACACCAGTTTTAACAAACACGATCTGAGAAAACGACACCCTGAGGGGAAAGAACAAATCATAGCACGTCCACCTCCGTGTTTTAACATTGATATGAGCCTTTTGTCTTCATTCTGCACATTGTGCCTACAGCACCTTTCTGTTTTAGCTTTAAACCCAGAGCAGATGTGTTTGAACTGTGACAATCTTTGAGTTAATTTTAACAACAAGCACCTTTTCTCTGCACATCTGGACTCAGTCCGGCGACCAGGATGAGACGTTCTGCTCAAACGTGCATAGATTCAGTTGTTTCTTCAAAATAAAATAGAACAATGTGAGTCGTGCAGTAACTGTTCAAATTAAAGGTTCTTCCTGATAAATCCCAAGAGACAAAAATACTTGAAACAAATGAGGTTTTACCTTAAATTTACAGAACTAATTTTTGATAAAAATGTTAGTAAAACAAGATCATCTGTTAATGCTTTAGATTGCAAAAGCTTGAGGCATTAAAATAATTAAAAACTGTATAAAAACATCAAAGTTCGTGCTCAATAATCCTGGTAAAAAAATCCAACCAGGTTAATTAAGTCTGGTCCTGTGGACGGTTTCTTGGGACATGGCTGCCTCAGATGAGTCGACGGGGGAGAGGGCGGACTCCAGATCGAACTGGTTGACCCACTATGTGAAGGTGCTGTTTATCAGACTGAGTTTGTTGTGGCTCCTTGGACTGATGAAGTCTTCTGGATGAGACAAAACGTTTCAACGCAAAGAAACCATCCAGAGGACCTGACTGGACCTCGTTGGATGTATAAAAACACGTTTCAATCAAAAACGACTTCCTGTCAACGTGTTTTTATGAAGGTGCAGCGTTCAAAAGTCAAAACGCCTCAGAAGTTGGACGTTTTCTCACTTTCTCTGCACGTTTGTTTGGTCTGTTTTTCCTTTAGGGGCGTTTTTATCGAGTTCATTTAAAAAAAGCAATTTGAGATGAAGAAGTTTGACCACAGAAATCACTCGGTCGTTAAAATCGTTGTCTCTGCCGCTCTGTTTCAGGTTTTATTCGACTCTTTTTGTTTTGCTTTCTTGTTACTCTTACGCTTTTATTTTTCTAATTGGACAGTTTTTCTTTCATGAATACCTCCATCTTCCATGCTTCTCATCCTTGGAGCCTGTAATGATTGTTTTTAACATTTTCAAGTTGGAAGTTTTAATTTCTTGACACGTTTGAATGAAACTCGGCTGTTAACGTCAGACGAGAACAAATTAGAGTTTCTCTTTTGAAAAGAGTTCAAAACTATCAATTCTCTGAAGATTTTTTTTTGTTTTATATGTAAAGAAATTTAAAAAAAAAAAGTTTTTACTGCTCGTGTTTGTGGACAAACGAAGCCAAACTCAGTCTACCGACTTGAAAGCCTGAATTTACGTTAACTCCTAAACTAAAACCTCGTTATAAGTTTTATTCTTCTGAGCTCCAGTTCCCAAATGTCAGTCGTAGCAGCTGCAGAGCGTCAGAGAACCATCTGAGTTGAAAAAATGTTAAGATTAAATAATTGTCCTTGTAGTTGTTCAGTCTTAAACGTTCTCGCCTGCTTTGAAACTAGGACGGAATGAAATAAATAAATATATAATACATGCATAACAATTAAATGTATCGTTTAATTATTAAATATATAATTAAATCATACAATTAAATTTTAAATACACCATTAAATAATGAAATGCACCTTTTAAATTATTTAATTAATTGTGTCACCTTCCACCCTCCAGTGACACCATTAAATTATGTCAACTGTCATCCTGACGCGTCAAACTCAGTGGGCGGGGCTAACCCTAACTCTGACGCCTGATTGGCTGCTCCTCACAGCAAGCGAAGACAAATCGTCCAGAAAATATATTCTAAATATTCTTTAGAAAGCAGTAGTTGTGTTTACGTGTATGTGGATTAAACTTTTTTCATCAGATTGAAGCAATAAATGTCACATGCTCGGCGTTAGTCCCGCCCCCTGAGTTTGATGAGTGAGAGTGACAGTTAACATAATTTCATGGTGACACACGAGGATGGAATGTGACGAAATTAAATAATTGAATAAACCATGAAACAAGTTAATTGTAGATTTAATTATGCATTTAATAATTAAATGATGCATTTCATTATTGTGTATTTATTTATTTAGTTTTGTCACCTATACGTCCTCCGTATGAAACAAGCATATTTCACATTTCTGTTGCCACAAATCAAACCCTTGAGATGAGTTTTATAAATGTGCTGTTTGATAATGAACTGACCTCGTCTGAACCTCAAATATTCAGATAAACATCGGCGCTCCCGTCTTTTGTTCAAATTAAAGCTTTACAGATATGATTCAGTTTCAAAAGTTAAGTCTTAGAAACAATAATCACTGTGATTTTTATTTATTTATTTATTTTTATCAGATACTTTATAGACTCCTGAAGGTGCAACAAATGCACATGTAGAGAATGAAAATATCTTGTAAAAATATATTTTTATTTAGTTTTTCCATCACTGAACAGTGCCTTTTGTACGTAGCTGGTGTATTTGTGAAAGATGACTCACCGCCTCGCATTCTTTTAAACTTTTAGAAGAACGCAAGGCGGTGAACTTTAAAATTTAAAGTTTCTGCGATGTGTTGGAAGCTGCGTGACGCATAAACTGAGTTTATCAGTTCATCTGCTGTTTAACTGAACAAGGCAGAGATTCACTCACATCAGCAGAATTTGTTCCTACAAAGCTGTCAAAGAATTAAACCTGCTTTTCACTTTTATTTCTTAGCACTTTTCAGATGCTTGTCTTGCTGTATACCCAAATCATATCTTTATTATAAATTATGATTAGAGGGAAATAAATGTTGGAATATCAAAATGGCCTTCAGTGTTTGTTTATTTCACTCAGAGGTAAATAAAAACATGAACATTATGTCCTTTGGCTCAAAACAAATCATGAGTTTCTCCTTTTAGCACACGTGCTGTAACTTTATTCTTATTTATTTGAAATAAACATGTTTTATTGTCAGTTCAAGTGATTAAAACACTTGATTCAATAAAGATAAATGCATTTATCTGAATTAATGACCTCACAACAGCAGAATCTGAATCTGTTTCTGAGTTCCTCCATCACTCGTTGTCCCTGAAACCTGAAGCACAAACTGACATTTTGCACATCTGTAGTTCATCAGTGTCAGTAAAATGTTCCTCTGTGACAGGGATGCTGCAGAACCTGTTTAAACTCTGGAGAACCACTAAACTAATCCGTTCAACAGAATTTATTAATAATGCTGCAGGATATAAACACCGCTTTTCTTCAAATGAAACAAAATCATATTTGACTCCACGTCCTTTTTAAAGAAAACTGCAAATCACAAAATAATCTTTTTTAAATACATTTGTTGTCATTTAAACAGAGAAACTCTACTTTGAATCTTTATTTGCATCGTTTTGATGGTAAAATAAATAATTCAGAATGAAAAAACAATAAAGGAGGTAACTTGTTTATCAAGCTAAAGGAGAAAATACTAGAATAATTCCCCCAAATCACACATACATGTCACATTAGCAACTCTTAAATGTCAAGAAAACATAAAACAGAGTTATCAACACAAGATGGAGTAAATAACCAAGTCTTCTGTGTCTCTTTAAAAATGTTCCACCTCAAACAAAGCCATATGTTTTAGATGTCTTTTATCTGAATATCAGTAAAGGCCACAAAGTCAGACTGAAACCCAAATATTTCAGATAACTTTGTAATTATTGTTTTTTATTGCCTCCCTGAAGTCCATACATTACATTCTGTCCTGCAGGCAAACCTTAATATTATTTTCAAAAGCTACAATATTTTAATTTATGTTGAGATCTTGTTTTTGTATTGAAAAAAACAGAAAACTTTACCAATCTTATTAAGAGAATAAAGTTTCAGAAATAAACATTATATGATTATTAAAGTTTAATGGTCAAAATTTATTAATTACCAGTAGTAACATTTTTTTAGAACCAATGTCACAAATTCTAGACATATTAATAAATTAAAACAAAAATAATAAAATAAAAGTTTAAATCCTTATTTTATTTATTGGTGCTTTTGTTTTGTAAACTGACCGGAAGTTGTCTCATGGCAATGACTGCGAACTGCCGCCATCTTGTGGCCGAGCTGTGGAGCGACTCGCTACTGTTGAGCTGTCAAAAACTGCCGTTTAAAAGTGACTTTTTGCCTCAAAGAGAAAATAATTCGAAATAACTGAAGACAGAGTTTATTAAACTGTTTATTATGACCTCGTTACGAGTTTTAAACAAACTCCAGCTCGAGGTAACTTGACCGAAACTGAAACTGAAAGTTTGCCACTGAAGCATCGTTAGCCGGTTGAGCTGCGGAAAGGGCGGCTGGAAAACGGTAAATTGTACGATTTGTGTCTGATGATCTTTGTGTCATTAACAGACTATTATATATGACGTTAGCCCAGATGAATGTTAAAAAGCAAACAGTACACCAGCCGCGTAATGAGCTAAAACAGACTGAAGCTAGCAGCTAGCTAAATGATCAACATCTGCATGTTTTGAAGTAAAACAGATGTGGTTGTCAAGCTGTCCCTTAAAATAGGGAAATTAAGACGGAAAGATGCGTTCAGGAACACACTTTGCGCCATATGTTTAGGAGATACTGTAAACCTGTTTATAGATGATAAATGAAATAACTGTTTTGTGCAGAGCTCAAGAGTCGTGTTTACTTTCTGCATGGACAGATGTTGAACACTGAACTGAACTAAGCTTTGGTTAATTAAAGATGCTAAGAAGTTAGCAGTTTAAGCTGCTTTTTGTCTATTAAACTGACACTGTTCTACTGTAAATCTAGTGTTTTCTGTGAACATGCAGGAACTGAATCCCATAAACTTCTAAAGCTAAATATTAGATGCTAAACCCAAGACTTTCTGTAGATTTACATTAAACTATATAAATAAATGTTGCATGGAGTAAACAAGACCAAGGATTGTTTTTTTGTTTTTTGTTGTTCTAGGACCAGCGTTTTGCAGCCGAACCGTCCTCCAAAGGAAAATGAACGAAGCGATGAGGATGGGATTGTGCGTCATCCTCCTGGATGTGCTCCTGTGTTTGGCTCTGTGGGCCGGGCTGCTGATGCTGAAGTGCTCCAGCTGTGGCGGTCTGGCAGGACTGTGGCTCTTCGGCCTGATGAAGTGGGCTTTCCTTCATGTTTTCACCTCTGCGGTGACAGATGGAAAGCTACGGACCGTGCTGTGCAGGTTTTCAGCGCTGCTCTGCCTTCTGTCTCCTGTGTTAGAAACCGGTCGGGTCCTTAAGGCGCCTCCATCTGAGCCGTACTCAGGACCGTCCCCTGACCTCAGCATGCTGTTCCTGGGTGCAGTCTCTTCATCATTGGCCTGTGGGATTTGGGAAAACTGGCTCAGTGGGGATAAAAAGATGAAAGACGACAAATTAGATACAAAACAAATTCTACTGAGGGTGCTGACGTACTTCAAACAAGACACTCTTTATCTGATTGCAGCTTTCAGTTTCCTCATCCTAGGAGTTCTATGTAAGTCTCAAATACTGATTTTATCATTTATCTAACATTTGGTACCAAATACTAATATTCTATAGTATATATAAATGCTTACAGTAAATATCTGTCTTATTTCTCCTTCTTAACAGGCGATACTTACATTCCTTTGCATCAGGGAAAAGTCATTGATATTCTCAGTGGTCAAGAACTTCAAACTGGTTTTGGTTCTGCAGTCGGCCAGCTGGTGCTGATTTCAGTTGGAAGGTAGTGAAACAGTTTGTATATATATAAATATATATATATATATTTACTATTTATCATGTTTGATTATATCTAAATGATTTAAAGTTGTAATTTTCCGTCCATCCTAACAGCGCTGTGTTCTCTGGAATGAGAGGAGGAATTTTCATGCATTCACTGTCCAGACTGAACAAGAGACTGAAGCTTCTGCTGTTCCACAACGTCCTGCAGCAGGAGGTGCACTTCTTTGAGGAGAACAACCCAGGTGAGAGGAATGTATGAACTTGTATAAAGTCCTTTCTTTAAACAGGCCATCAGTGGTGGTGCTCAAGTGGCTTAAAAAAACATAAAGGAAGAAGAGCTGCCTGTAACCAACGGTACAAACTCATTCACCAAAATGCCAGGGGTCTTTTCTAAACGCACTACTGAAAAGTGAAGAGGAGAGAGTTAAAAGCGTTGCTGCAATTCCTCCTCAAAACCACGACTCCAGAATCAGAATTGTTGACAATTTGTGTTGGTCATTTTACAATCCCCATTCTGAAGAAGTTGAGACGTTATAATAAATGTGACTAAAAGCAGAATGCAATGACGCGCAAATCTCAAAACACAAATTTTGTTCACAATGACTACATTAAACATATCAAATGTTTAAAACATTGTACATTGTTTTTGTAAAAAAAAGTTATTTTGAGTTTTATAATTGAAACATATCTCTTAAAACGAGCAACATTTGGCAACAAAAGGCTGTAAAAATAAGGGGGACATATAAAAAACAGCTGGAGGAACATTTTTAACTAGTTAGATTAATTACGTTAGGAACTAGAACAGGTATTAAAAGAGTATTTTAGAAGTAAAGATGGACAGAGGTTCACCAGTCTGTAAAAAACAGTTTTAAAATAGTGAAACAATTTCAGAATAATGTTCCTTCATAAAAAAACTGAAGACTTTGAATCTCCCGTCATCTACAGTTCATGTCATGAAAAGGTTTTAGAAATCTTTGAGCTCAAAGGACGAGGCTGAAAGTCAGTATAGGCAGGATCTTTGGGCCCTCAGGGGCCGCTGCATCAAAAACAGGTCTGGTTCTGTTCTGGGCATCACTGCATGGACTCAGAAACTGTTCCACAGATCATTGTCTGTCTGTAAACACGGTTCACTGCCTCTCTGATGGTATAGGGGAGCATTACTGCCTCTGGCATGGACAGCTTACACATCCGTTGAGCCGTTTTGATGTCTTGTTCCAATCCAGGCTTCATCTGCTTTTAGATTTGTGATTTTAACACGTTATTTGTACTTTTCTTACACATCTGTCTCTGAAACATTAAAATGTTGCTCCATAGTTTAACCTTTGATTAATCCTCTCACAGGAAAACTTTCCTCCCGTCTGCACAGCGATGTTGACAGGATGGGCCGCACCGTGGCGCTGAACGCCAACGCGATGGTTCGCAGCACGGTGAAAACCTTCCTCATGCTCAGAGTGATGTTGGGTCTGTCGTGGGAGCTCACTCTGCTGACCTGCATGGAAATGCCACTCCTGGCAATAATGCAAAATAAATACATCAGCTTGTCCAAGGTGGGTGTGGAGAGAGGCCTGCAGAGCCAACAGTAGGGAACTGGTGGGATCGCTCGTTCCTCACGCTTCTTGTTTCAGGAGCTGAAAGAACAGACCCAGGAGTGTCACGCTCAGAACAAAGACCTGGCCTCTCAGGCGGTCAGCGGGATTCGAACGGTCCGCAGCTTCAGCGCGGAGAAAGATGAACTGAGGAGGTATTCTGTGGCTCTGGACGAGCTCTGCGCCATCAAGACACGCTCTGGAGTTTACAGCGCAGTCTATCTGTTAATACGAAGGGTAAGTTGTTTCCTCTGTAAGGTGTTGAGCTGAGCGCAGTGTGACTACGTCCTCTGCTCCTACGTCCAGATGGTGTCTCTGGGTATAAAGATGCTCATGCTGATTCAGGCTCGCAGTCTTGTCGCCTCCGGGCAGCTCAGCATCGGGAGTCTCGTGTCCTTCTTCTTGTACCAGAAGCCCATGTCCATCAATTTAAAAGTAAGCGGTCACGAACATTTTATATGTTTAGGTGTAATTTGTATGAAATGTGTTTTATCGATGTTGAATTTATTTTCACCGCAGGAGATTATGTATTGCTACGGAGAGACGATGTCAACAGTTGGAGTCATTTCCAAAGTGCTGAGTTATCTCGACCGGACACCAAAGTGTGAGAAGGAGGGAGACTTGGCTCCTGAGAGGCTGGAGGGCAAAATCGTTTTCCAGAACGTCACCTTGAGTTATCCCTCTTCTTCTTCAGACAAACCAGCTCTGAAGGTAAGACACAGTAAGAGTTCGGTGTATTTGGGACGGTGTTTAAAGCCACAAACGTAATTCTTCCCCGATGCTTCCTCAGTCCGTCTCACTGGAGCTGCAGCCGGGGCGGGTCACAGCTCTGGTGGGTCCCTCCGGCGGTGGAAAGACCTCCTGCGTCAGCCTCCTGAAGAGGCTTTATGAGCCTCAGGAGGGTCAGATCCTGCTGGATGGGGCGCCGCTGCACCACTACAGACAAAAATACCTCCATCAGAAGGTGTGTAATTTATTATCAAACACAGAGGAGCTGGTGCCTGTCTCCAGCAGTCACTGGGAGCTGGATCCTGTCTCCAGCAGTCACTGGGAGCTGGTTCCTGTCTCCAGCAGTCACTGGGAGCTGGATCCTGTCTCCAGCAGTCACTGGGAGCTGGTTCCTGTCTCCAGCAGTCACTGGGAGCTGGTTCCTGTCTCCAGCAGTCACTGGGAGCTGGATCCTGTCTCCGGCAGTCACTGGGAGCTGGATCCTGTCTCCGGCAGTCACTGGGAGCTGGTTCCTGTCTCCAGCAGTCACTGTGTGAAAGACGGGACACACCCTGGACATGTTTATTAGTAAACATTCTTTACTCGAAGTTTCTGGCCTTTTGGACTCTTTAAGGCGTTCCACATGGATAAAAGTCCAAGTTTCAGTTTTGACAACAAACATTGCACTAATGTAGTTGTCTTGAACTTGTTCTGGTCTTGCAGGTAGCTCTGGTTTCCCAGAACCCCGTGCTGTTTTCTGGTTCTCTGAGGTCCAACATTGAATACGGCCTGAAGGACTGCACTGTTGAAAAGGTGAAAGAAGTCGCAAAGAAGATCAACGCTCACGAGTTCATATCTGAGATGGAGAACGGATACGACACCGGTACAGAACTGGCTCTTTGTAGTGAATTTGATTTGCTACAGATGGAGATTCATAGATTTATTTAAAGCAGAATAGTTCGTGTACGTAGTGTGTGTCACGTAGGGTCGTGCACATTCAGGCAGTTTGTTTTTGTTGTTTGAAACAAAAAAGTAAAAAAACAAAAACACTTGTTTTTAATTTTATTAAACCAAAACGAAAAATGGGATAACGAGCGCTCACGTTCAATTATCATGATTTATTTTTTGACAAGTGGTCTGACCCGGGAGTTCTCTCGGCCCCGCACCGTGTAGCTTGCCGCTTGTGTGCTCACGTCCAAAACGACGGCGAATTAATTTTGAATTTGATTTTTACCCAACAAAAACCTTAAAGCCTCACTTCTTTTTGTATGTCTATTAAAAACACAAGAACAGAGAAAAGTCTGAGAGACGGTAGTTTGACGAATCCGGAAGTACGGTAAGCCCAATTTGAACCATCTGATCTCCATGGCAACTGATGCTGGCCCCGTCACTTAATCTGATGTGTATATATATATATATATATATATATATATATATATATATATATATATACATATATACATGTGTGTGTGTGTGTGTTTATTATTAAAGCAGCATAGTGTGTAAAACTTTGGAGATATACAAGGATTTCTAAACAAGATAATGTTGGGCTTTTATGTTAATGTTTCAAAGTTTTCACAGTGTATTTTGAAATTTGAACCATCAAAGTATTACCCCCCCCCCCCCCAAAAAAAACAACTTTTTGGACCAGCATGTTTATTTCAACACAAAAAAGAGTTAATATTGGATTTGCAAGATATTACATATTTCAGTGTAAAGTAAATTGATTTGAAATTAGATTAAATGTTCTGTTGAGATCACAATAACTGGTTTATTTGGAATGCCCCTCTCCCGACATGGGTGGGGCCATCAGCTTCAACCACAAGAAAACAAACAAACAACAACAAAAAGGAACAAAACTCCCTTCAACTTTATAAAAATGAGAAAACAAAAAGCCAGAATAGAAGACATACACAGATGTGATTTGATCCCTTCCCATGGAGGCATTCATGAGTAAAGGTCACCTAACACACACCTCCTGGTAATCAAACAGTCCTGTAATGGTAGCTCCTGTTCACAGTAGAGTCAAACAAACACGCCAGGTCTGGATGAAGCAAACTGAACTCTGCTTCTGCCCTCCTCTGATCGAAAAGGGTCAGAACCAAATACTGAGTCTAGTCGGTGAACTTCCTGTGTCCTGTAGAAACCAGCAGCCACAGAGGATTCTGGTAGTAGGTCTCCTGGGACGTTGTGCCAGATGGTTGGGGACGCCTTTCCCAACAGCTGCAGGTTCTGTGGTGGTTTTCTGTTTTCTGTGGGCGGCTGTGGCTGAGTGGTTAGAGCAGTCGTCCTCTAATGCAAGGGTTGAGGGTTCGAATCCACCAGTAGTCACCTGCCGAAGTGTCGCAGGGCAAGACACTGAACCCCTCGTTGCCTCCGATGTGTCCCATCGGTGTATGAATGTGATAATGAGTCTCTTTAGAATAATTGTTCAGTTGGCTCTAGATCTAGTATAGAGCTGTATGAACGGGTAAATGAGGCACAGACTGTTGTAAAGAGCTTTGAGTGTCTTGATCAGATAGAAAGGAGCTGTATAGGTTCAGTCCATTTACCTAAAAAGGAAAAATCAAAAACTTATCCCACAAGTATGAACATTTTTAGCATGGAGAAAAAACAACAACACATTTGTATCGTTTTTCTCTGTTCTTATGTGTTTTTAATCTACATACAGTCAGGATATAAGGTTTTCAGTGGGTAGAAATCAAATGATTCAAATTAATTCACCGCCGTTTTGGACGTGTGCACACAAGCGGCAAGCTACACGGTGCGGGGTCGAGAGAACTCCCGGGTCAGACCGCTTGTCAAAAATAAATCATGATAATTGAAAGTGGGCGCTCGTTATCAGATTTTTCAGAAGAAGGTTTAGTTATAACTTGTTCGTCTGGGGGTCAGCAGACGCAGCGTTTCTTCAAAGACGTGGTAGAGGTATAGACATATAGGGGCTGAAAGAAAACCTTTTCCAACACGTTCTGTTTGCAGACATAGGAGAGTGCGGAGGCAAACTGTCCGAGGGGCAGAAGCAGAGCATCGCTGTGATCCGAGCTCTGATTCGAGATCCGCAGGTCATCGTTCTGGACGAGGCCACGAGCAAACTGGACGTTAACGCAGAGCAGGCGGTGAGTTAAAACACAAGGACACTCCTGCAGCAGCTGGCAGAAAACACAAGTGATTATTAGGGACGCACGATATTATCGGCACGGTATCGTATCGGACGATATTAGCGATAAAGTTAAATATCGGGCATTCCGTCAAAATAACTCACCGATATGAAAGGGGCTGTTTTAAGTTAATTTTTCATTAAAGAAACTGTCAAGTATATCTATTACTGCACTACTACTTACACACTTTTCACCTGTTGCTGCTCTTGCACTGGTCGAGTGTTGTCTTTGCGTTAGAGAGAATAAATATCATGAATAAATTTAACATTAAACATAATCCAAGTTATGTCGCTCCGCCCTATAAGTCATCCTATAGTCCATATTTGTCTAATAAAGTGGAAAAATCCATAAAAATGTCGCTTCGTCGTATACATTGAATCTATTATGCGTCACCGCTGACAACCCGGAAATGTGGGTGGGTGTTGTGCCAAAAATGGATGGGCTGCCGAACGGCGGCCGCAGGATCGTGCACGGGAGGACTTTAACAAGAATTTAACAAGTTTAGCACTTAAAAACAATTATTTGTTTGCTCAAAATTACATTAAATGTGTGTATCGATCTAACGCTTGCATAATAAATGCACTTTGATGGTCAAATCAACAGCTTTTCAAAAAATAGTTTCGCTGCTGAGGTGCTCCCGGGAGCGCGCAGACAGGGAGGAAAAAAGGAGGAACGGAGCTCGTTTCTCCAACAATTTACAAGAAAAGCACATAAACAATTATTTGTTTGCTCGAAGTTATAGCAGAGGTGTGTCTCAGTCTAACATTTGCTTAATAAATGCACTTTAACGGTCAAATTATCTGCATTTCACCGGGGCGGTGCAGCTGGATTGACGGTTGGTCCAAGCAGAACCAAGGTGGGGACGTTATGGTAGGACTCTGCTGCCATCAAGTGGCTGACAGTGGTAATGCCACAAAAAATTTCGGTCAGAATGAATGACAACAGTCATATCTCGGCCAAAAATAGCTTCTAAATATGGGAAAAATCCATAAATATGTTGCTTCGGCCTATAAGTCGCAGGGCATGTTAATGATGCAAAAAACTGCGACTTACAGGCCGAAAAATACGGTAGGTCTAAGGAAAAATATCGGTAATGGAATCAGTTATCGGCCAAATAAGTTTTAACATATCGGCATATCAGATATCAGCCAAAAATCCAATATTGTGCATCCCTAGTGATTATTAATTTTCACTGGTTTTATTTGACTTTAAACTGGCCAAAAAGAATCAAAAGAACTCTTACTTCAACCATTTTGGGTCCTCACTCATTCTATTTTATTTTATTGTTCTTGGAGAAGCTTAAATGAAAACAGAGACATGCTCAACAGAACCAGCCCAAAGGAGCTCCTCAGACGTCATGTTGCTCCATGTTAGGTCAGAAAACAGGTCTTCGGCTGCTGGGATGCACGTCTTGGCACCAGCACAGAATCTGCAGCTGTTACTCGTGGTTTCGTTTTCCCCTGTGAGAAGGCAACGTGATATAAATAATTATATGTGAGACAGTATGCATACACTCCGAGTCAATATTTATAAAAAATAAAGACAAACAACCAACATCAGAGGATCGTTTTGAACATGCTAACACAGAAAACATGCAGTTTTTTAAAAACATTAATCTTATTTTCTATGTAACATTAGACGAATAAACAAAATTTAGAATCTCAAAAGTGCAGTTTTAATGTTAAGGTTAAATCAGATCCTCCGAAAGGATTCTTTTTTCTTTTTTTTTTTAAGTTTCATCTTTTATCCAAAGGACTTCTTCAGTTTGAGGAGCTGCAATAAACTCAGTCTTCTCATGGTGGATCAACCAGTTTTGCTGCTGACAACCAGAACTAGTTGTTCACATGATGAAGAAGGACCATCAGCCTAATCGTTGGTGCCCTGATGGCTGTTTACTATTCACAGGGGGCGGAGTGATACTAGCAATCACAGCATTGTAAGAGGGGGCCAGTTGGACACGGAGGCTCCGCCCCATTTAATGATGGACGGGTTCCCGTCACAAAGATGGCCTCCTTCACTCCTCTCAAACCATCGTTCCTCTCTGTCCAGGATGTGAACATCTTCATCCCTGAAAGAGTGACTAAAATAATTATCTTGAAAAGTGTTGTACGCCTTCATTTAAGATTGTTTTGTGCGGGTAAAACCAGCTTTTAAAGACGTTCAGACCGTTTAACCAACTGTTGAGCGTGGGCCGACATTTTCTTCTTTTTAAAACATAAAGAATCAGAATAAGCTTAATTATCACTGGACCGAAATACAGTGAGATTATTATCAGATTATTAAACGACCAAAACAAATCTCAGGGTGAAAATCAACGAAGCACAATTATTATCCCCTACTCACTGCTTGATGTTTTTTACTTGTGAATCAGCTGCTCTCAGCCAAAACGTTAAATATTAGCTGATGTTCCGTTTTTGATCACGAGAAGGGACAAGTGAAAAAGTGAACGAGTCCCCGAGCGATCGCAGACCCACCCCGGACCCCGTGGCTCTTTGACTTCCTGCTGCGTCACTCCTCAGGTGCTGAGGGAGGCTCTGGCTCGCGGGCGGACGGTTCTGCTCGTGGCTCATCAGCTCAGGATCGTGGAGAAGGCCGATTGCATCGTCTTCCTGGAGGACGGGTCGGTCCGGGAGGAGGGGACGCACGAGGAGCTGATGGAGAAGAAAGGACGATACTATCGTTTAAAGGAGCAGCTGTTCTCCGAGAACAGCTGAAGGTTTCCTGTTTGTAAATATTTACTCCTCGGCTCGTACGGACATTTTTACAGTTTCTGCAGGTTGGGTTTGTGTGACGGCTTCGAGCTGAAGGCAGGAATTAGAGCACGGTAACGACCGGATGAGTTATTGTTTAACTTTTTAATTCTACTAAATATGAAACGTTGGAAGTTTCTCTTTGATGCCACCAGGAACCTTTTTACCAAAATCAAGGAAAAAATCAAATTATTACAGTAGGAAATTAAAAGAATTGGTGTTGAAAAGTACATTTATTTTGAATAATTAAAATATTTTAAATATATTAATATGTATTCAATAAATTCATAAAAAAATGAAACATGACAACAAAAACAGTTATTCGGTGTCTAAAACAAGGAAGAAGTATTTATATGGTCCTGCTTCCCTATTCAGAAATGTATTATTATTTTTCTGTAAATAAATGTGTTTGTAAATTAAAACATTCTGACATTTATTTTCACGTTTCCAACTACAAAAAGATTCAAATTACCCACAAAGAAAGGAATAAAAAAGTATCGTGCTGCCACTTTGTCCCCTCCAGAGGTAAGTGTTGCTTCATTTAAAATGTATTTGTTGTAGTTTTGGACCATTTTATGAAAAATGTGACAAAGTATCAAATAAAATCACTCATTTTGGCTCAAATTAAAACATTACTGCACTTTTATTTTCTCCAAACTGTCTGAAAATGACTCAGCATCTCATAGGAACAACTTAGTGTTAACGACTTTCTCTATCAGCTCATAAATATCTAGAAATTATAACGTAACCTCTTATATGACTTGGTAATTAATAACATACGAGTCACTATCTCATAATTATGACCTACTATTTTAAAAGTACAAAGTATTATCCCAATATTTTAACTTAGCACGTCATAATTTTGACTCAATCTTTTAAAAACGATCACATTTTGTAGATTCTGTCCCAGGATCGTGACTTTTCATCTTATATTTATGACTTAGCTTCCTCAAAATTATGATTCTGTATCTTTTCGTTTTGAGACGTTCTAGATGACTGAGAACTTTCAGCATTTGAGATGTTATTTAAAACTATGACTTAGCTTCTCGTAATTATGACACTACAGTATCGCTCAATTGTAAACATCTCATAAATGTGAGAAACTCATAATTGAGGTATTTTCTTGAAATTACAACTTAGCACCTCATAATTATGTAAAACTCAATATTATGACTTAACGTCTCATGTGTCTCATAAATGTGAGAAGCTCAAGATTCTGACGCAGGATCTCAAAAGTACGATTTAGAACAGGGGTGGGCAACATTTTTTATTTTTCCAGCGGGACAAATCAAGATGTTGAAATCAATCAAAGAGAGAATTTAAAATGTTCTGATTCTTAGGAAACTTTGTTCAGGCTTTTTCTCGTAGCGTAGTTGGCATACTGGATAAAAATGTGTCTCCCCAATAATCTTTAGGATGTAAGAATCTGTAAACTTTATCTTCTGAAAATGTCTTACTTTAAATATGCTAAATAAAAATTTTAATTAAAACATTTTAAAAATAAAAAAGTCAACTAAAAATATGTTTTTAGCCGTTTTAACTCAAAGGTTTTTGATGTATTTGTCCAAGATGCTTCGTTTAGATTTCCTCGAACTGATAAAATGCAGGTTTTCATCAACTTATTTACAAATGTTTTCTTTTCAGTTAAATATTGGGGGGCCGGCTAGAGATTGTTCAGGGGCCACTTTTGGCCCCCGAACCACATATTGCCCCACGTCTGATTAGGATACGAATCTGAGATGTTATCTCATATTTATGTGTTCGTTCAACCTTTATTTATACAGGTTAATCCCTTTATTTATACAGGTTAATCCCT